AGGTATTTTATTTTTCCTGCTGTAAAGCACTCAGAGCACCTTGACAGAGGGCCCTGTATAAACCCATTATTTCTAACACGCTGCCACACGGATGATGATGATTCCCCAGTGATGCACTGAGTGGTTCAGCTGTTTGCTTTCCTCCAAATTTAGGAACATCTGCCAGCTGCTGAGAATTTCCTCCTTCTCAGGCCCACCCACTGCCTGCTGTTTAAGGCGAGAGTACCTCATGCCTGTATTCATATTCCTCTAAGGATCGTCTGCTGTCTCCAGGAGTATAGTGGTGGGGATTTCATCTACCATAAATGATCATTTCAGAAAGAGTAAATATTTGCTGGGAAAATTACCTTAGTCATTGTATTTGCCTCCAGGGGAAACATCCGCTTGCTCAAGACATCTTTATTGGTTCAAAAGTTGGAAAAGCACCCCAAGTTAGTAGACAAATTTAACTGGCCAAATACTTCCCTGGTGTAACTTCACTGAGTTACAGCAGGACTAGATAGGTCTAGAGCAGTGGTTCCCAAACTTGGGTTCATGAACCCTGGGGGTTCACAAAATGTTACAGGGGGTTCTCGGGAAAAAATTCCCTAATGGTGGACAGAACTGTCCCTAGGGACTCTGGACAGCATGGGGCCAGTAGCCCAGAGCCCCTGGACTTCCAAGAGCTAAGCAAGCATATCTATCACACTGAGGAGATTTAAACTTCAAAACTCCTTATAAAAAATGGAAAGGGAGGTGGATATTTTTGGCTGTTTTTAAAATTAAATAGGCAGCTAGTATTGTTTTTAAAATTATTATGAAGAACAAGTTTAAGCTTTCTTGTAACGTCCGTTGTTTGCCTGAATTCGAGACCTGAAAGCTTATGTACGAGGAACTCTTTGAGTTGGCTTCTTAAATATCTTCATGCTGTTTCACATCTGATACTCCTGGATGAAACATAGGAGCCTTGTGTTATAACAGGCTTATTCAAAGAGATACAAGCTACGAAAGTGAGATCTTGGAAGAGTGTTGCCATTTTCATAATGTAATAAAAATACGGTAATGATAAATAATAATTAATAATAAATAGTGTGTAATAAGCATGTCATAAAAACAAATTTTATATTTCCAAGATCAATGCTTTTATAATTTATGCTCAAGTAAAGGAGAAAATCCCTGGAAATATTCATTTTTAGGAGGGGATTTGCGAGACTTGACATTTTAGTAAAAGAGGTTCACAGGTTGTTAAAGATTGGGAACCACTGGTCTAGAGGTTTCCTTAACTCTTAACAATTATTTCTTGTATAGGAATGAATCAGTGTTCATCTGGTGTCTAACTGGCTAATCCAAAAGCTAGTGGCAGGTGAGTGAAGATGTTATTGCTCTGAGGAGAGTTGGCAGTTTTTCAAAGGGACACTATTAAGGGCGCAAAAGGAAGCTATTCCGCTGGGTAGGAAAGATAGAAAATGTGGCAAAAGACCACCTTGGCTTAATCACGAGATCTTGCATGATCTAAAAAATAAAAAGGAGTCCTATAAAAAATGGAAACTAGGACAGATTACAAAGGATGAATATAGGCAAACAACACAGGAATGCAGGGGCAAGATTAGAAAGGCAAAGGCAAAAAATGAGCTCAAACTAGCTACAGGAATAAAGGGCAACAAGAAGACTTTTTATCAATACATTAGAAGCAAGAGGAAGACCAAGGACAGGGTAGGCCCACTGCTCAGTGATGAGGGAGAAACAGTAACAGGAAATTTGGAAATGGCAGAGATGCTTAATGACTTCTTTGTTTTGGTCTTCACCGAGAAGTCCGAAGGAATGCCTAACATAGTGAATGCTAATGGGAAGGGGGTAGTTTTAGAAGATAAAATAAAAAAAAAATAAAAAAGTTAAAAATCACTTAGAAAAGTTAGATGCCTGCAAGTCACCAGGGCCTGATGAAATGCATCCTAGAATACTCAAGGAGCTAATAGAGGAGGCATCTGAGCCTCTAGCTATTATCTTTGGAAAATCATGGGAGACAGGAGAGATTCCAGAAGACTGGAAAAGGGCAAATATAGTGCCCATCCATAAAAAGGGAAATAAAAACAACCCAGGAAACTACAGACCAGTTAGTTTAACTTCTGTGCCAGGGAAGATAATGGAGCAAGTAATTAAGGAAATCATCTGCAAACACTTGGAAGGTAGTAAGGTGATAGGGAATAGCCAGCATGGATTTGTAAAGAACAAATCATGTCAAACCAATCTGATAGCTTTCTTTGATAGGATGACAAGTCTTGTGGATAAGGGAGAAGCGGTGGATGTGGTATACCTAGACTTTAGTAAGGCATTTGATATGGTCTCGCATGATATTCTTATCGATAAACTAGGCAAATACAACTTAGATGGGGCTACTGTAAGGTGGGTGCATAACTGGCTAGATAACCATTCTCAGAGAGTAGTTCTTAATGGTTCCCAATCCTGCTGGAAAGGTATAACAAGTGGGGTTCCACGGGAGTCTGTTTTGGGACCGGCTCTGTTCAATATCTTCATCAACGACTTAGATATTGGCATAGAAAGTACACTTATTAAGTTTGCAGATGATACCAAACTGGAAGGGATTGCAACTGCTTTGGAGCACAGGGTCATAATTCAAAATGATCTGGACAAATTGGAGAAATGGTCTGAGGTAAACAGGATGAAGTTTAACAAAGACAAATGCAAAGTACTTCACTTAGGAAGGAACAATCAGTTTCACACATACAGAATGGGAAGAGACTGTCTAGGAAGGAGTACAGCAGAAAGGGATCTAGGGGTTATAGTGGACCACAAGCTAAATATGAGTCAACAGTGTGATGCTGTTGCAAAAAAAGCAAACATGATTCTGGGATGATTCAGGTGTGTTGTGAGCAAGACACGAGAAGTCATTCTTCCGCTCTACTCTGTGCTGGTTAGGCCTCAATTGTAGTATTGTGTCCAGTTCTGGGCACCGCATTTCAAGAAAGATGTGGAGAAATTGGAGAGGGTCCAGAGAAGAGCAACAAGAATGATTAAAGGTCTTGAGAACATGACCTATGAAGGAAGGCTGAAAGAATTGGGTTTGTTTAGTTTGGAAAAGAGAAGACTGAGAGGGGACATGATAGCAGTTTTCAGGTATCTAAAAGGGTGTCATAAGGAGGAGGCAGAAAATTGTTCACCTTAGCCTCTAAGGATAAAACAAGAAGCAATGGGCTTAAACTGCAGCAAGGGCGGTTTAGGTTGGACATTAGGAAAAAGTTCCTAACTGTCAGGGTGGTTAAACATTGGAATAAACTGCCTAGGGAGGTTGTGGAATCTCCATCTCTGGAGATATTTAAGAGTAGGTTAGATAAATGTCTGTCAGGGATGGTCTAGACAGTATTTGGTCCTGCCATGAGGGCAGGGGACTGGACTCAATGACCTCTCAAGGTCCCTTCCAGTCCTAGAATCTATGAATCTATGACATTTTAGATTTTTCCAGCTGAAGAAAAATTCCGCAGTAGAAGCAAGAGTGATGTCCGTTCCTGAACACGTTTTTCTAGACTGTGTGTCTAGTTTTGGTTTTTTGGTTTTTTAGTACCCAAGTCTTTCTGAAAAATGTCAGCTTCCCATCTCTCTCTCTCTCTCTCTCTCTCTCTCTCTGTGTGTGTGTATATATATATATATATATATATACACACACAAACACACACACACACACACATAATGGAGCATTTTGATTTTCGGCTTTGCTCACATTATCTTGTCACAAAGAAGACTCAATTGAAAAAATAGACATCCTTCTCTGAAACAGCTGGTATAGGTTTATTTTCCATTTATATAAAAAGGGCCCTGTATCTATGGGAAACTTCCAATCAGGTGTTTGCTATTTGCAGATTTGAGCATTGGCAAGTACTGTATGCACATCATTAAATAAACTGGCATGTTTCCACTACCACAAGAGATAAATTAAGTAGAGGATAAATTTAAACTTGGCACAGAGCTGTTTACCAATTTTTAAAAGCAGATTAAAGTTTCCGGCAAGAGGATTAACAATAACAGGGTGGCAGCTGGAAGAAATCAAATTTCCATTTTATCACATGCAACAGCTCCTATATTCTGTTACTACTCTTCATGCAGACCTCAACAGGAGGTACAGCTAGTCTTGGGCTTGACCAAAGAGTAAACGTGACATAGAAGAGTTCATAGATATCTGCATTGCAACTAATTAGAAAATAGGGATATTGTACATTGGAATCTTAGAAGAATTATCCCTTCTAAAAGGACCATTCAAAAAAATATTTTCTGGTATACTTTACTCTTAAGTGGATATATACTCTTAACTAAATACTGCCTATATTTTCAAACCTCTGTGCCTAGCTTTTAAATCCATGTTTAGGCTCCTAAATAGTTTTTCATTGTAGCTTTTTTTCTCTAGTAAAAAGGATAATTGATTTTCAATATCTGCTGCCTAAACGTGCCTAGTGATATTGTGCAAGCAATAAAACAAATATGGTCACACTGAAACGTAGAAACTGGAGCTGGAGGATGTGTTAAACCCTCTAAACTCGTGAGGAGAATTCCCTTAGTATATTCCTAAATACTTTACCCAGTCTAGTTTGAAAATGCTCATTACACATTAGTCACTATTCCACAGGCTCAGAGATCTCACTGCTAGGGAATTTCCCCCTGATGTCGAGATTAAATTTTATTTTGTACCCCTTCATCCCCTTACTAGGTATCTTCTCTTGGACTGTCCTAACTCACTGATTGTGAACATGTTTCATATTGTGGATCACTCATTAAATCAGCCATTCTTTTTGGGGACTTGCCTGCTTCCAACCCCAATGTCACACTTTCCCTGTGGCACCTAGTGTGCTTTGTTACATGAAAAAGCCAAATGGAGAAAAATACTATTAATCAGATGTAGTACTTGTTGAAAGATGGGAAATTTCATAAGAATTATTTGTTGGTTGATTTTTGTTGTTGTTGAGTATTTGAGCAGCTCTATAAAACAACATTATAAACAGTTACTGGATTACCTTATCTCTCCAAATACAGCTCCTGCTCTCAGGGTAACCAGGACTTTTGTACCATCTGGGCCTCCAAGAACTTGAACTTCTCCCTGCTTGATGATGTACATCTCTCTGCCAATCTCTCCCTGGATGCAGAAACATCACACTTTGAGTGGAATAGTCTGACAAATGCCTCTTAACAGACCCTGTTTGTCATATGCATGTTTCCCACGGTTATGGGGAATAAGATCTAGATTGTGATACCTTTACTCACAGTGAGTAACACCTGACTCCACAGGCAGTCTCATTGATTTTGAAGGGACTAGTTGTGGTGTAAGTCATTATGATCGTGGGAGTTGGATAAACCCTGCTGAAGCTGGTGGATGCATAACTGCTCACCCTTCATTCGGGATAAATGTAAGACAAGGAAGCACCAGACACAGCCACGAAAGTACTGGTAACGTGACTCTAAGAAAAAGCAGAGAGCATGCTTTTGGGCTTAGTGCTGGCTAGTAAGGGGCTTGGAATTGTGAGCAAATAAAATGTCTCCTGCTGTTTGATTCCTACTGTGTTCAGGGAAACAGGACTTTGGGTAATATTGTTTGTAAATAAACAGGATTGCATTAAAGAATACTTGACTCCATCATCAATTTCTCCTCCTAATGGAAATAACCCACAAGATCCTTGGATAACTGCTCAGGTAAAAAGGGGTAACAGCATGTGTATCACAGCCTAGCCCCGAGTGGATGAGGTAGATCAGTGGTTCCCAAACTTGTTCTGCCGCTTGTGCAGGGAAAGCCCCTAGCGGGTCGGGATGGTTTGTTTACCTGTCGCATCCGCAGGTTTGGCCGATCGTGGCTCCCAGTAGCCGCGATTTGCCACTCCAGGCCAATGGGAGCTGCTGGAAGCGGCGCAGGCCGAGGGACGTACTGGCCGCCGCTTCCAGCAGCCCCCATTGGCCTGGAGCAGCGAACCACGGCCACTGGGAGCCACGATCGGCCGAACCTGCGGACGAGGCAGGTAAACAAACTGGCCTGGCCCGCCAGGGGCTTTCCCTGCACAAGTGGCAGAACAAGTTTGGGAACCACTGAGGTAGATAATTACCATGGTGTTTTAGTTAGCACTAGCATGAACTAATTCTGAAGGGATCTGATGTGACTTGATATATTAACTTTAATGTATCTAAGAAGAGCCATATACTGTGCATTTAAAAGTACTTCAGCATTTTTAATTTTTTTCTAATGATCATTTCCATAATTTAAAAGGAAAATCAAGAATAATTAACCAATCAAAGCTTCTGCTGTTTCTTGCATATTTACCAGTGAATTTGAACCTTTGCTAGCTGCTTAATTAGCATCCTGATTTTACCTGGATACAAAGGATTGACAGATTGTATATGTAACAAATTCTAGCCATACTGAAGTCATCTAGTGGGCTAAAATGTAGCATGATAGAATAATATAGGACGCTTACATGTTTTGTATGTTCAAAGGGCTTTACAAACATTAACTTAACAATCCTCACACAACATCCCTGTAAGCGAGGTGAATAAATATTCCCATTTTACAGATGGGAAACTGAGGAAGAGAAGTGAAGTGACTTCAGTAAACCCATACAACAGCAGTCAGTGGCAGAGCCAGGACTGAAATTTTCAGGGTTTAATTCCTAGCCCTCTGCTCTGCTCATTCCTCCAGCCCACACTGCCATTAGAGCGAACTGAGCAGGGGTGGGCCAGTGTTTCTGTATTTGCGACGCTTATCTACCCAACTATGTCCTTTCTTTACAATTCTATATTCAGTTCCAATTACAGCTGCAGCTTTGAATTAATGTGTCATTATTGGCCATGATATATTTTATTAGAGCAACACAAAAGCCTTGCTCTTTTAGTAAGCCATTTACTAAACATCGTGCTTGGGTAAAGCAATATATTTATTTCTAGGGTTTCGTTGCTGAGGAAGATCACCTGAATCTAATTGCAGGATCAAGGCTTTAATCTATTATTATTTTATTATTTGTACTACAGTAGTGCCTAGAAACGTTAGCCATGGATCAGGACCCCATTGTGCTAGCTGCTGTACAGACACAGAGCAAAAAGGCAGTTCCCTGCCCCAAAGAGCTTACAATCCACGTAAAGCAATATATGTAAAATTGTACAGATGTGACTGTATCCCTTTCCACCCACCCGACCACCTTACATTACCTGGTGCCTAAGGTCCCAGTCCTGCAGTGAGCACCACATGGGCAGGCCTACTGACCTGAGCCTTCAAAACTTGTACATAAGGTTAAGATTTTGTTACGTTTATTTTTAGTAAAAGTCACAGATAGGTTGCAGGCACTAAACAAAAATTCACAGAAGCCCTGACCTGTCTGTGACTTTTACTAAAAATAATGGAGGGAGGGAGGGAGGGCTGGTGGGGGGGAAGGAATGACACCTGGATCCCATGGGGGGGACTGACAGAACCACGGCCATGGGGGGCACAGCTCCGGCTCCAGATCCTGCCAATGTTGCAGGGCAGGGGCACACAGCCACGACTCCAGCCCCACCTAAAGCCACAGAGGGAGAAGGCGGGGGTGCACAGCTCTGACTCCAGCCCTGGCAGAAGCTGTGTGGGGAAGGGGACACAGAGCCCCCACCAGCCCTCGCTGAAGCTGCGGGTCAGGGGCACACAGCCCCGGTTCTTGCTGCAGCTGCGAGGGGGGTCACACAGCCCCGGCTCTGGACAAAGCTGCGGGTTGGGGATGCACAGCCCTGGCTCTGCTCCCACTGCTGACAGCTGAAGCCAAAGTCACAGAGGTCCAGTAAAGTCAAAGAATCCATGACTTCCCTGACCTCTGTGACGAAGTCGTATCCTTACTTATTACTCCTGGGGGAATTCTGTGCCAACAAATTAAATATTTTGCAAAATTCTGCATATTTTATTTGTCAAAATAATGCAATATAATCACACCAGTGTCACGTATTTTGTTAATTTATTTAAACTACCTTAACAGAAAAAAAATCATAATAACTGTTCAGCATTTCCTAAACACATGAAAATTAAGTCACAAATACTTGAAAACTAATACCCTGCATTCCAGTTATAATCCTGGATTTTCATTTAAATTACATTACAGAACACCAAAATAAAAGTGAAGTAGAATGTCGCTCTAAATTGCTCAGACTTTCACACATGAAAGTCATACAGGTTTGCTAATCATTGTCCTGCATTTTTTTTAAATGGGTAAGTAAAATAGATCCTGAGCTGTGATCTAACCCTATTGTGCCACCCTGGCACAGGAAAAAAGCCAGAAAGCACATAGATCTTCCTAGCTGAGGATTCCCTTACTGTCACAATAAGGGTCCTTTATACCACTCTGGCAATGTAAAGGAGCCTTAAAACTTTTAAACGTTTTTTAGGCTCCTGTGGGAATTGACTAAGAATGGGAACAATTCACTGACATGGGAACATTAGCAGCCTGCCTGCTTAGTTGTTACATTTCTGTTCTGCCTCAGCAACAGACCCTGCCTCACACAGCCCTCCAAGCTGGGGACACCCCAACAGCATGGGAGAGAGAGTGAGTATCTCTCGCTGGTTCACACACAGGCAGGTGCCCAGCCCCACCCCCTTAAGGTCTCTCCACAGACGCTGAATCAACAGGACTGCACACAATGCAGAGAGTTAATCATGACTTTACATCTTTGCAGCATCTGGAGCTTAAATTCTAAGCTCTTTGGGGCAAGGACTTTGTCTTCCTATGGGTTTGTACAGCACCTAGCAAAATGGGGCCTGAGTCTAACTGGAGTTTCAGAGCACTACTGACATATAAGTGCTAAATAATCACAACTGGTAAAACACATGCAACGTTTAATTTGAGCACTTGCAACATCTCAGATGAAGATCTGTAGTCTGTTTGCATGTGCATACATGCAAAAGTTTTGAACTTCTAACTTCTGCAACACGCTATATCCATTTTAAATATTCAAACTTAATGATGTGTGTCAACAGATAACTTGTATTTCTACAAAGCAGTTTCCCAGGCTACCAACATTTTATATTTGATAATATAAATAATAAAATCCATATTGTCTTGTTCCAGCTTGAAACCTGAGAGCACATTATCATTATTACTCAGTATATCATAATTATTTTTAAAATATGTAATTCACCCAGGATTAATTTTCTTTAAAGTATACCCTTGACCTATAGCTGAACTTTTGTCTTAGTATGTTCATTATTTTTACATTTGAAAAACAAATAGTCAAGCTCACCTTTTTGCAGACAAAGTCACCAGGTAAATACACAATGGATTTCAGTCTCAGCAGCATGTCGTAAATCATTTGAGTATCACACCCCTGTTAAAAATAATTAGAATTTTGCTATACTTGTGCAGTACTTGAAATGATTACCGAGAGGTTTATACGAGGAAGCAAGAGATAGCAATACAGGAATGTATTGAGCTAATGCTTCAGGTACTGAGTGTGGATTTAAAGCATCATAAAGGTCAATTTCTGGAGGGTAGAGAGAATGCTGGAGGAACTATTTGGGTACCTTTAAGGCCCTTATCATGGTATTAACTGAGTGCCTCAACCTCTATCTTCTCTGTGTTTTGAAAGAATAGTCTTTCTACCTGTGAGATGTCTGTATATGTATGTGACTCTCATGCTGGTCTAATTAAATGTGTTCAATACTATGGTTAAAGCTGTGGGCCAGATTTCTGGTGCATTATTGCTCAGGTGGTATAAAAAGGCGCCACCATATGGTTGTTTTTAAGCAAACATGGCTCCTTGTCCGATACAATAGATTTCAAACGACGAGTACAATGTTACTAAGTGGCTTTAAACAATGTTTATGGGTGAGGGGGAAGCACTGGGTCAGATTCCCCTATTGGTACAAACCTCTAGTGCTGTAGTGTCTTCAGAAGCTACAGGAATGTTCTGACATCAGCTACAGAGATTTGTACCAGCAAAGGATCTGGCCTGATCTATTTAACCTCTCTCATAATTTCCCATGACAAATGAATTAAGACTAAAACTATTGTGTGTTGTGACTTTTCCTTATGATTTTTTATTAATCCCATGGCAAAGACCCAACCTTAACAATCATTTATCACATATGTCCCTGAGACAACTATAACTACTTATATTAATAACCATTAGAAAGTCCATTTGCACACAGTTATCAAACAGCAATATCCAGAGTGTCACAGTTATTTACCTATACCTAGAACAGGTAAGAACTGTGACCTCTCACATAGCACTGGGTACAAGTGGGCAAATGACACATCCTAGGGAAGATTATTTTTCCTGCTACCTCATCCTTCCGCCCCCTTGGCTTACTTATACCCCCAAACTGACATGCAGACTACACCACCATTTGCCACCTCTGAATTTGGCGGATAATGTCAGTGTAACTGCACTAAAATAACAACACAGTATCACTCAAACTTTTTTGGCTTCTGCATTGGATGAAGAGACAGGCATTTGGCTCAATCCAACCATGAGCTTCCATTCACTTGGCAACCTCTTGACCTTATTTTGCCTTTAATATAACTAATGAAAAAAATGTCCTAAATACTGCAACATGTGCAAAACTAGATTTTATAGCTCACAAGAACAACATATTGCTCCGTTCTCCTTTAAAATTACTTGCTTTGAATAAGTCAACTTTATTGACAATGGCAAAGTTCACATCAATTGCAATGGCTAACTGCATTTTGGTTGGCATCTGCTCCAGTAATTCTGATTCATCTGTAAGAGAGAAAAAAAGACCCCAAAATTCCTAATTACAAAGTGGAAATGCAAAGGAAGAAGGAAAAAGAGCAGCAGCAAGGGAATTTAAAAAAAAAAATCAAAATGAACCTTTCCCTTGTACAGAAGAATAGCCTAATAGAATTAAATCTAACATACATGAGATCTAATAGAGGAATATTCTTTCAGACTAACAAATTGTGCAATAAATTAAACTGCTTCTTCAGAACTCCAAGCAGAACATATTACAGATGGATAAACATATGAAAACCCCTTGGTTATTTTTAGACTCCAATTATTTTATATATAGAAAAGAGAATTCCCAACTGTAGCTATTGTATTACAACAGGTGCTAATCCTGGGTGTAACCTAATTTCCAAATATTCAAGGTAGCCTTGGAACTACATATGAAGACTACCATAAATGAAGACTTGCTGTGCTGCTAGAAGTTCAGGTTAGTGATCCGTCTTTAGACACTACACTTTTACAACATGAAAGTACAATATGTAATAATTCAAAACCTCTTAGAAAACACTTAAATCCACCGACACCAATACAGGTTTTTCTCTTAATAATATGTGTGTTTCTGAAGGCCCTACAAAACAACACATTGGGTTGGCTTTTTTGACGCTAGTTAACTAGTGTGTGTCTCTCTCACCCACCCCTAGACCATTCAGAAGAGATCAAATGAGATCCATGTATTCCTTGGATCTAAATAGAACATTTCTGCTGTGAGTTAGTGTGTGAGCAGATATGGTATAGTTTGAGAGTCATCTTACCCAGCATTCCTTGAGAGTCCCATGTGTATTCGTACCACCTTCGAACACGATTCTGAACTACTTTTGGAATTGTATAGGTGTTCATGTAAGAGACGGTGTTATCCATGTTGGCACGGTAGTAATTCTGTCCTGCTGTAGCTGCTCCAATTACATCCCGCATCTGCAAATATCAGTTATTACTACAAACACTTCTCAGCGGTAACAGTCTCATTTTTAAGTGATTAGTCATTTTGCAAATACAAACACTTTGCTTTGTTAATACACCTCTACCTTGATATAACACAACCCGAAATAACACTAATTCGGATATAACACAGTAAAGCAGTGCTCCGGGGGGCGGGGCTGCGCACTCCGGTGGATCAAAGCAAGTTCAATATAACGCGGTTTCACCTACAACGCAGTAAGATTTTTTGGCTCCCAAGGACAGCGTTATATCGAGGTAGAGGTGTATAATTGTATATGGTATAATGTACCATTAGTGGTAATGAATGGATTTAAACTAAGTTGCATTAAATAGTTGTGTTTTCACCTGTTTTTTTTTTTTTTTTTTAGAGGGACATTGACAACTTAATGTAGCCATGTTAGAAGTAGTTTCACATACCATAGCTACCCCTGAATGCCCCTGCCAGTATTTGTGATTTTTATATTTTCCTATTTTAAACATACTTTTCTCTCTCGTGTTTCAGAGTTAAGGTGAAAAATACAGTCTAATGCATAAATTAAACAAAGTGTAAATCTTCCAGTTATAGGAAACCTGTGCTATTTGTAAGTAAAATATTTTCAGATGGAAGCATGATTTTTAAATTGAAGGTGTTCCTTTAAAATTCAATAATTAAGCCCCACTTTGCTTGGCATGCAATGGCAAATCAGAACTGAAGTTAAAAATGTGTTAATACCAGTTGATGCCACTAGATGTAAGAGTTTGTCAGTGTTTCCCTCGTTAGATATTTTTTGATCAGTCATAAAAATCAACTTTGGGCTGAACATTGATCTCGAAGGTCTTGGCACAAGAGCACAGTTTAACATTTCTACAAAAAAAAGTCACATCTCTTTTTAAAAATTTAAATGTGTTAATGTTTGAAAACACCCTATTCTCTAGGTACAGTTACATTTTTGATAGAAGGTTCAAATATCATTGTGATGACCAATTACTAATATGATTGTGGGCTAAATTCTGTTGTCACGCTGGTCGAGGTCTGGAGGAACTCTACTGAGCTCAATAGGAATTACCGTATATACTTGATCATAAGCCGGTTCGTTTATAAGCTGACCCCCCCCAAGATGGATAAGTAAAAATGGAAACATTTTTATAACCCGTTCATAAGCCAACCCTATAATTCAGGGGTCAGCAAACGTTGGCTCCCAGGCCATCAGGATAAGCTGCTGGTGGGCCGAGATGGTTTGTTTACCTCAAGCATCTGCAGGCACGGAGGTAAACCTGAGTAAACAAAATGTCCTGGCATGCCAGCTGCTTACCCTGATGGGCCAGGACAGCAACTGGTGGGGAAATTTTTTGTGGGGGAGAAGCTGGGAGTCAGGGGAGTAACCCCTGTGACCACCCCCCACATGACCCCACCCCTAGCCCAGGACCCCCACACTCTCCCCATCCCATTCCTTACCACCTTATCTGGAGAGGGCCAGAGGAGGATGTCTCTGGCCTGGCTGAAGCTGCTCCAGCAGGCTGGGCAGCATGAGCGCAGCCTGCTCCGGCGGGCCAGGCAGTGCGGCCACAGCCTGCTCTGGGGGCGGGACCGAGCGGCACGGCTGCAGCCTGCCAGCCCCGGAGCTGCAGCTGCTTCGGAGGCTGGGGGGAGAGCAGTGTGGCCAGAAGCAGAGAGACTCTGGCCCCGCCTCTTCCCTTCTGGCTCTGCTGGCTGTGCTGCCTCTCCTTGCTCCCTCTGTTGGGGGGAGGGACTGTATCCCACCTCTCCCTCTCTATACCCATTCATAAGCCGACCCCCTTCTCTGGTGCTTCCCTTTTTTACTAAAAAAATTTGGCTTATGAACAAGTATATACGGTACTCTGGATTTACACCAATGTAACAAAGAAGAACTTGTCAAGTAACTTTAAACCTCTTTGAAAACACAGAAGTTATTCACTGACTGAATATTCACGTATCTTTTCACTTATCTATATTTAGGCCTTGATCCTTCAATTGACTCTGCACTGGTGGAGCGGTCCGTTTGCACAGAGTCAACTGCAGGACTGGGGCTTTAATAAGGGACCTAGGTTAGATGAAAAAAATATTAGGTTTGCAAACTAGATACCCAAAGATTTGGCTGTTTGGCCAGAATTTCTTCAAGTTTATCTAATCATCAGGCTAGAAATCTTATAGGAAGAGGTGCGCTGCTGCTATTTCCAGTGTTTGCTGGATGCATTGCAAATACTACAGGCATAGTCTATTTCATGATATTTTAGTATTTCTTTTCCCACTCCTTGTGTTACCAGGAAGTTAGAGGTATACACCCTGTTATTTACTTGAGACTTACAGACTTCTTTTACTTGATTTGCTGAACTTTTTCAAATCTTGTGGTCAATAGAAATACAATTAAATGCAACAGTTCTTGTGTTTGCCTTCTCATTTGAACTCCCCACCATACAGGGATTTCTGCAAGAGTCCAGTAGGACTCACTGCCACATGTAGGAACTGTAACTGTTGTTTTTCTGCAGCCAGGAAAGTTCTTTTCAAACCTTTGGATATGAAATGTAACTCCAATAGTTAGGTCGGAAAAAAACTTTTGATGCTGCCTATTACTTTGGACATTTTGCAGATTTTTCTTTCAAACCTGGATGCAAATGAATTGAAAACAAGAACACTGATTTAATCTTAACCACAGGTTATCATGTGCCAAATTTGCAGCTGTAACATATGGCAGACAGTAAATCCCTCATTTCACAGAGTTCTTAGGACTTCAATGGGTAGTGATCAACGGCTTCTCAATGGGTAGTGATCAACGACTCAATGTCTAGTTGGCAACCGGTATTAAGCGGAGTGCCCCTGGGGTCTGTCCTGGGACTGGTTTTATTCAACATCTTTATTAATGATCTGGATTATGGGATGGATTGCACCCTCAGCAAGTTTGTGGATGACACTAAACTAGGGGGAGAGGTAGATACGCTGGAGAATAGGGATAGGGTCCAGAGTGACCTAGGATTGGGCTAAAATAAATCTGATGAGGTTCAGCAAGGACAAGTGCACAGTCCTGCACTTAGGACAGAAGAATCTCATGCACTGCTATCAGCTGGGGGCCGACTGGCTAGGCGCCAATTTTGCAGAAAAGAACCTGGGAATTACAGTGGATGAGAAGCTGGATATGAGTCAACAGTGTGCCCTTATTCCCCTCTATTTGGCTCTGGTGAGGCCACATCTGGAGTACTGTGTCCAGTTTTGAGCCCCCCACTACAAAAAGGATGTGGACAAATTGTAGAGAGTCCAGCGGAGGGCAACGAAAATGATTAGGGGGCTGAGGCATAAGACTTACGAGGAGAGGCTGAGGGAACTGGGCTTATTTAGTCTGCAGAAGAGAGGAGTGAGGGGGGATTTGATAGCTGCTTTCAACTATCTGAAGGGGTGTTCCAAAGAGGATGGACCTAGGCAGATGACCGAACAAGGAGCAATGGTCTCAAGTTGCAGTGGGGGAGGTCTAGGTTGGATATTAGGAAAAACTATTTCACTAGGAGGGTGGTGAAGCACTGGAATGAGTTACCTAGGGAAGTAGTGGACTCTCCATCCTTAGAGGTACTTAAGGCCCTGGCTGGGAAGATTTAGTTGGGGTTGGTCCTGCTTTGAGCAGGGGGTTGGACTAGATGACCTCCTGAGGTCTCTTCCAAACCTTATCTTCTATGATTCTATGAAAACTTTGTAAAATCAGGGGAATACTAAATAACCTGCAGATACATCAGTATTCAGTGCAGTGTTGTACCATTCATGTTTTTAAGAGTGATAACACTTAAATGCAATCAGGGCTGTTCAAGGGGCAAGGAGGATAGGGAAAGGGGCAGTTTGCCCAGGGCCCTCTATTTCAGAGGACTCCCGAACCTGACTGACAGTGTGACCTGGCACATGGGGTCGCAGCGCCACTCATGGAAATTCGGCAGCTGGGCTAAGCCTGAGAAGCGCTGCAAGCCTATCCATCAGGTTGCAATGCCAGGAGTGGGGAGCCCCACGAGACAGGAGCTGAGCCACCACTGCAAACTGTGTGCTGTGTAGTCTTGCTTTCCAATCCACCTCCCACCCTTCCCCGGGGCTTCCCCTCAGTGGTTCTATTTAGGAAGGGTGGGAGCAATCAGTTTCAGATTTTGCCATAGGCCCCCCAAACCCTCTGTGCATCCCTGATTGCAATTAACAGCAAGTGCAATTCATTAATGTCTAAAGATAAATCCAAAAACGGATATTAAAATTATAGTGTAGCAGTGCTGGGTGACCCAACAGAGATTACTCTCCCAGGCCATGAGTGGACCAAGGCATTTCACGTAAGCCAGTTTCATAAATTTGTGAGCTCTGATACTGTAATCTGAGCCATATGGGCAGGCCTCCCTGTAGAGTTCCACCAGACAGGTCCAACTGCAGGATTGAAGCTATGGCCTCGAAAATTGGGGTCTACTGTAAATTACGAAGGGCCATACGTGGAACTACAACCATAGATAAATACATCTGTCAGAAAAATATATACAGTGGAGACTCAAAAGAGTCCTTGAACTTTTTTGATCTTCTGCTTCAAAGTTTTCTGTATTATGTATATGAATGGGACCATAAAGAATACATTGTCTTTACATGGCAGTAATTTACACAACTGTAAATCTAGCAATTAATTCATTTGTTTACCTGACCAATTAAGCTGGAGAACACAAAGACACCCGTGAAAAAATTCAGTAGCTGAAAGATTATCTCAAAGAGGGTTTGCGGTTCTGCAAGACCACCAATGGTAATTAAAGTGCGCACTGCCCAGTAGTAACACCTCAGATACCTGGGGATACACACAGCAAACATTTTATTGACTTCAATGGGACTATTCACATATTTAAAGTTATGCATGTGTTTTGCTGTCTTAAGTCCAGGGGGCTCAGCACCTTCCAGAAACAAGCCCTATGACGCCTTTCAGCTTAAAAGCTCTCTAAGGCTTTACAAATGATTGCCCAGTCCTGCAAACCCTTAATAATGGGATCAAACCCAATAAAGCCCCAAATTAGGTGCATACAGAAAATACAGCAGCTACTTACCAGTGCCCAGTAATTCTATATGACAGTTTAGGACAATAGCTACTTGAAACTGCCAGGGAGGATTTTAGGCAGGCAGAATGCAGTTATCCTTGATGTAAATACCATGGTGATAAGGGCACGATTAAAACCTTGCTAAATAGATTGAAGTCAAGTCTACACTAGCAGCACTTTGCATGTATAACTACACTGGTAAATTAAATTAGCAAAGCACTCCTACTGTGGATGCAGCTTATACCAGCAAAACTGCACTTTTGCTGGCCCAGTTTATTTTAGCTTTCCTCCCTCTGAGTGAAATAAGTTATATCAGTGTCACATTCTGATGTGCAATCCAGACCAGTGGGGAGCTGTGTCACCAGCTGCCTTGCAACCTTGGACTTCTCACAAACAGCCAAATAGTATGCAAGTCAGACCCTGAGGGTCTGTGTATTGCTGTAGCCTTCCAGCAGCACTCCAGTCACACTCTGGCTTCCACCAGCCTGGGTTACCACTTGCAGGGTGGCCCCAACACACTCCCAGTCCTGAATTTTCTACAAAACATATGTTCTGCATTCCAGCCCTCTCCTGGGCAGTTCTGATATTAAAGGCCCATTGCCCCTGTAAGGGGTCAATATTCAACAGTTTGCTAATTCAACTGGAGTACCCAAACAGTTCAGTTTAAACACAACACTGGATTAGTTTTGATTAAAAAATAAAACAGGTTTATATAACTACAAAGAGAGATTTTAAGTGAGTAGGTATAAGGTATTAAAGTCAGAAATGATTAAAGGTGAACTGAAGATAAAACACTTTCTAGCAGCTACAACTTGACTTGGTTCAAGCTAAAATCCTTACCACATGTTCTCTGCAACATTGCTGACCAAATTCTCAAGTCAGCATGTGCCACCAAATTCAAAGGGCTGGTTCCTTTGTTTTCTTAGGTGAGAGAGGGAGAGAAAGAAAAAGAAATGGGGGAGTTTTTGCCCCTCACTTTTATAGTTCTATCTCCCTTTGAAATGTATTTTTCTGAGGTTACCCCTAGATAAAGTTCCTTCCTCTGTGAGGATGGAGACAAGGAGTCTTGTGAATACAGGAGTGAATTCGGTCACAACCAGCAAAAGTGCAGTTTTGCTAGTATAACTGTGTCTATGTGAGCAGCTTTTTGCCACCACAGCTATGACAGTGATAAATTGCACCTCATCACAGCCTGGCTGACATAGCTATGTCAGCAAAAGTTTGAAGTATAGACCTGGCCTGAGATTAGAAATTAGCTAAGACACCAGTGCTAACTCCCTCACTTTTGCCAAAAGTGCATTGGGATGTTTAAGAATCACAGCAGAACATTAACTCTGTTTTAAATGACATTTGAAAGATGGCACTGCAAATAGCACTACATCATCCTAATACTAAAATGGGATTAATTAGTTTTTTAAACCAGTTCATCGTTTTAGTGAAAGTGATAGTGTTCCTTGCTCTTATGAGCTAAGGTATTTTTAAAGAGGTAACTGAGTCTTTAAAAAATACTTTTCATCCCTAGTAAAATCACTAATTAATATTTATAATGGAGCATTCTGAATGTCTTGACAATCAAATTTTAGATCCTTTTCAGATTATTAGAGTTGTTCGTTTTCCCTAACTGTACAATAAACTCTTCAATTTTACGTATGATTGCATTTTACATACTTTTTTTTTAGATTTATTAACATTTTATTAAATTTAGAAAGAAACTTAATATGCAGTACAAATAACTTGAGGTCTCAATCCTGAAAATAGATGCTCCAGTGCATATCCTTTCTGTCTGCTTTGAGTCCTGAAACCCACTGACCTGTTTGCAGGATTGTGACCTAAGTTTTAATTTACTCTTATCACATATATCCTTAGAGGGCTAATGCCATTAATACACTGTATAGATGACCGTACAATTTGAGACCTATGAAGTGGCAGTTTTATATAAATTCTGTGACAGCTGAATGAAGGGCTACTTCCAACAGGCAATTCCCTGTTTTAAACCACTTGATATACCTAATGTTTTCAGTATGCTTTTATTTGACCTTTTAGTTAAAGGCCAACCTCTGATAAGCAATTGATTTTTTGCTGATCCCTTGGGTGGTCACGTTAGGCTGGCTTCACTATAATGAGATTTAGTAATTATCACTTTTACCACAATTATCCACTTGCAGACTTTAACAGCTAGAATTGTCATTTTTCTTTAACAATTCTGACACTGAAAATGCACTGCAGATCTGTTAAACTAATCCCGTCCCTTGTCCCCTCTCCCCAATATAGAAGTTATAACATGGACATCTAGATTAAACCCCTGTATTGTTCACTGAGTTCCACAAATTCAGCATCCTTCCAGCAAAGCCTGTGTAACCCACATCTAGTGGCACCAAGACCACTTAGAGAGAGATAAAAGAAGTCTGCTCTACAGCCTTAGCGAATAGCCAGTTGGCTTTTAGCTCATGCACTAAGCTCCAGAGGTCCCCGGTTCGATTCCCACCGACAACCAGGGTCTGTCAGTGTTATAAATGGGGGCTTGTCCAGGATTTCAACTGGGAAGTCTCTGAAGCTCTGGACGCACTTCCTCAGCTAGAGGAAGTATGTAACCCACACACCTTCTGGGTGTGGTCTTCTGTCCCATCTAGTGGCACTGAAACCACTTAGAGAGAGATAAAAAGAGTCTGCTCTACAGCCTTAGCTAACAGTCAGTTGGCTTTTAGCTCATGCTGTAGAGGCTCATGCACTAAGCTCCAGAGGTCCCCGGTTTGATGCTGGTGACCGGGGTCTGTCGGCGTACATCTGCACAAGTAGTAGTTCTGTTTCCCATGGTTCTGTGGTCAGGTAAATGTAAATGGTGAGGAAAGGTTATGTTTCTGTTTTGCACGTATCACAGCTTTTAGGGTGAAATTACATTTTTAGCTCGTTTGGAACGCCATAAGGAGTAGGTTAGTTAATGCCTAAAAAGATATCCTGTATTCACTGGACATAACTGAGAATACTGTGCTGGTCCTGAGCTACAGCCTTAAGAACTTAAAAGTAATAAAGGAAACAGTGCTACTTCTGAACAAGTGGCCTCGGAAATTCAGAGTGAGTAAGATGTAGCATTGGCTTTTGGCGGTAGCCCCAGTGACTTCAGCATGATAGAGATTATAACACTGATTCTGGGCTATGTCTCTGAGGATGTCTGGAAAACAGATGATACAGTGTGAGTGCTACATAGATAGCAGCCTGAGGAACTTCAGGGGTTGGTCTAATACTGTGTATGTATCTACCTGAAAAGCAAGTGTATGTTTTAAAAAAAAATCTGTTCATTACTAGTGATACGTTTAGTGCAGTGCATACAGTACTTCTGTGGTCTCAGTTCACACAGATACTTTTTACAGCATGAGTCATATGCTGCTCACTGTATGTCAGACACAGGTTTTATATTTTCCCCATTTATTCAGTTTATTGTTTTTCCTTTAATCTGAACTAAGAGTTCAGAAATATAAAGTCACTTTGCCAAGAAAAAAAAAAAGGAAAAAAGAAAAAAGAAGAAGAAATTGTAAAAACAAGGAGCCAAAAAAGATAGATTCCAAATGCTATGGTATTAGCAGCTCTGCTTCCTGCTAGCTAATTATATCTTGAAATCATCACTGCTTGTCATACAGCAAACTAGATAGCTGAAAAATTAATGTTAAAACAAAGTAGAGACAAGAGTGGGATTTTCCCTTTACATAATATAGACAGTATGTTTAGCCCTCAGGCAATCAAACCATCATATTTTTCCCTAAAATAAGGAACACATGTAAAAACATTCATAAACAATGCAAACAAGATAACTCTATGCAAATGGGAATATTTCTCTTTCATAAAAATTCATTTCAGAATACAACAAACTGTTTGCATGACTTTGGTTAAAATAGTCAAACTTTGATGTGTATGAAGGACAGCATAACTGAAAATGGTCTTCAAGTTTTAAGCTGGTACTTGTGCATCCATTTCATTCAAGAAGACTTAGGTCTTCCATATTAGAGTCCTCCAAAAATACAACCCAGACAGAGCAAGGATAGTAAAATGGTGGGTAAGTTCTGGCCTTCTAATGTCTCCAATCCTGAAGCTTCTTTCCCTTAAATTGCTTATTATCTATTGACCAATAGCTTGCTGACCTCAGCCACTAAACAGGTGTGATATATACATTTAAATAAAAAAGGAAAAAGCAGAAAGCCCATGAAAGTCAAGTTCTCAGACTGAAGGACAAAGCTGAACTAGCTAGAGGACATAAGAGTTGCAATAATGCAACAGGACTATCCTACTACAAGCAGCTCTGAGGGCAACACCCACAAGAAGGAAAAAAACCTTGTCACATTTGACTTAATAGGCTGAAAATCTAAGCTGTGTGCCAAACAACACTCTAACTAATCTGATTGCAAATGCTAACATAGACCATCCACAAACTGTTGTTCTATGACACAAATCTTTGTTCCTTGTCATGGTTTAGCCTAGACCGAGCCCAAGACTGAACCACAACCAGGAACAAAAGTTTGTGTCCTGGAACAAATCATTGTGGAGAATTGACATTCACATTTACAGTCACATTAGCCATTAACTTGACTTAGCTCTCTGTTATCTCATGCTACAACATGACAACCCCCCTACCCCAACTTGTCCAGCCAAGCCTACTGAGAAGATTGTGACTGCCACAGACAGACAGACAATTCAAAATTCATGTAGCTACATTAATTAAGGCTGTGCCATAATTTAGTTGCAGACATTAGAGAAAACTGCACTT